TGTATTTCCAACATTTTTTATGCAAAATTTTAATTTATGCAAATTCATTTAAAAGTCATTTTAAAAACCCTATAATATAAACTTTTTTTAATGTGCAATAATGTAATAATATCCAATAATACATGACTTTTACATTCATTTTTCATAAGTTTGAATGCCTCTTGACTTGATGACCTCTAGCAATCAGTTGGGGCATACTATCAATTAGTTATTTTATTGTTTTTTTGAGGCATAAAATCCCACTCCCTCTGTAGAGCTTTTTAAAATTAAGTTTTAGAACCTCTTTTGTTTTAGGGTATCTTGTGGTCTAATGTCCCAATGTTGTTCTATGGGGTTAAGCTACTTACAACTTCACTAGAAAAACAGAAAATATCACAGCAATTTATATGATTAAATGTTTAGGAGTTTAAGTGAACTAAATAAATTTTTAAAACTTTTAAAACAATTAGATAATTAAGCTGCAATCCAGTATTTAAAATACTATTTTAAATACTGTATTTGTATTTGTATTTTAAATACTTTTGTTAAAAGTATTTCTTCTTAAAATACTTTTAATTAGTATTTTGTATTTTGTACTAGTTGAAAATACCTGTAATTCAAATACCGCTTAAAACATTCACAACACTGCACACAAACAAATAAACTAACTGTCATGTGTAGGTGTCACTTAGCCACTATTTATTCTAAATTAATTTTTTATTTAATTTATCTACTTTAGTTTCATTAGGGTAATAATTAAATTATTTCATGGTAACCAACAATTTTAATTTAAAGAAGGCTGCCACAAGCTGTGAAAACAAAATGACTGAAGGAAATAATGAAATTTTACCAGCCATTGCAGATGGTATCTTTTTTGAAATTGTAGCCAGATAAAAAAAAAAGTAATAAAATATCAACATTGTGCTTATTATGTGTACGTATTTCAAAGCAAATATCAGGCACGTTGGCAGCAACATCAAACTTTATTAAGCATTTGAAAGTAATTTTAAAATTTAGTATTAGTTACAATCAATTTATCTTATCTGGTATGAACAATGTACAATTAACTATCAACAAACAAATATGTAATGTTGCATTAAAGGCAAGACAGTACAAGTTAATACAAATTGAAATATGCAATACTCAGTTACAGCAAAGTAAAACTTAGCTTTTAAAAGGATTTATGTTTACGGTATTGAGCTTACCAAGAATCGCTTTGGAGACTGTAAGGCACATAAGACAGATGTTCAGAGGAAGTGTAATCTAGGCAAGGCTGGTGTAGGAAGAACAACTGATGAAGGCCCTGATAACATTTTCTCAACAACATAGTATTATGTTGCAAGAAGAAGCTCCACTTAATTTCGAATTACTTTGCTAGGAAGAACAACTGATGAAGGCCCTGATAACATTTTCTCAACAACATAGTATTATGTTGCAAGAAGAAGCTCCACTTAATTTCGAACTTTGCTGAAGAGTGTGTTGTTTGCCTACGGTTGAAAAACCAGCTTTTTTGCAACTGCTTTGTGGGTTTAATCCCAACATAAGTATCTTGTGTTGCAAGACTCTTTTCAAACATTTTAAATCAAGCTTTGCTAGGATGCATGAAGAAATTAGAACTCTTACTCTTAGATGTTTGAAGATGAAATTGAAAAAAGCATCATTTGTTTTCACTACTGCTGATATCTGGTCAAGTCAATAGAAAAAGTTATTTATTCTAGTTTCATGAGCATCTATCCGTTGCTTGTTGTGGATTTTATGGTAGTCATACAAATAGTCACACTGTTACCAACAATGCGTCAAAATTTTGGAAAAAGCATTCAGATAATTTTTTGTAGAGTCAACTAGTGTGACCATGTGACCACATACTACTATTGATGAGAAAATGCTCACTGAGTGATATACTTTAGCAGCAAGTTTAAAAACTACAATTTGAAATTTTAATTCACATAATAAAGTTCATCAAGACTTTTTTAAAAGTTTAACATTGACTTATTAAGTTCAACTTCAAACGGTAAATTGTCCCAAATTGGAATCATACGATTGGAAAATAAAATTCTTCTACTCGAGTGTCTACAGGTCTCAGAAGTATATCTTTGATTATGGATATAGTTACGAACACTTCCAACTGGTCCAGTTGGTCGACAAAAGTTCCTCAGGGAAGATACTGTATTTAGCTGATAAGAATTATTAAAGACCTTTTAAAAAGTTAATTAAATCTTTCTCTTCTCATAGATAAGGTTGTTAAATTAAGTCTATTTAATCTTTCCTCATACAGAATCTCTGAATATCCTGGAATTAATCTTGTTGCTCTATGTTGCACTCCATCAATAAGAATAATGTCTTTTTTTTAAAATGGATTCCAAATAGAAAACGCATATTCAAGATGAGGGCCTACTAGCGAAACATATAACAATTTAAGTATATCAGCATTTAAAAATGAAAACGTGTGTTGAATAAGACCTAAAATTCTATTTGCTTTAGAAACACACGCAGATATATGATGATATAATAGATACAGATATGATATTACAGATAAAGCAATACTCTGCCCCATGACAATACATTGAAATTCTCAGTATAATGCTATCAAGCAATTACTTGAATTATGAGACAAACCAAATGATAAATGTAATGCTTTGAATGTGCCTAAGTTTAAAAATACAGACTTAGAATGCCTTCTAGTATATGCTTTAGTCAAAAAACCTGTTGCTACAACATTTTTGTTGTAGCAACAGGTTTCATGATAAAAAATGATTCTTTGCAAGAGGATAATGTGTGTTAAGAACATGTGTTTCCACATTTGCATAGCTTACAGATAAAATCGGAAGTGTTTCAAAGTTGCTGATTAAAATATGCTTAACAAATTGCTGCAGCATTGTTGGCAAGCATGAAAGCTTGTTTTGAAAAGAAACTGAGATTTGATGTGAGTTATTCATACAAGATTGTTGCAGCAGTTTCTCACCCATTGTTCAAGTTACGGTAAAAGTTATGGTACAAATAAATGAACTATATGCAGAGAAATGTGTGAAAATGCCATACTAGCTGCCAGTGAGCCGTTGACAGAGACCAATCTTAATGTGACCATTGGCAGCACAATTAAAAATTCTGTTATATGTAACGATGACACTCCAAATGTTGGTGCAACAAGTGGCCTCAGCAAGATTGCATGTTCATATCTGAATGATAAAGATACAAGTTTAAATGCTCTGAATAAGATAAAGATTATTTGGTCACTGTTTGTCTAATTCAATACCACTGTACTATTGCCTCCTCAAGGCTGAGAAGGCCACTTCAGACAAGAAGGCTACTTAATAGTGGTTATAACCCTCTCTCAACTATATAACTCCGAAACACGAACCTTGACGAACAAGGCCGCTGCGCGGAGAAACAAGTTAAAAAAAATTTAAAAAAAAAAATTTAAGAAAGAAATAAAAAAAAAAAAAATTCATAAAAATATCTGCAAAAACTACGGAAAATATTTTTAAGAAATATATGGAAAATTCTGGAAATAAAAATGTTAAAATATTATAATATTCATATTATAATAGTGTGGATGTTACAATGTAATTACAATGTAATAGTGTGGATGTTACAATGATGGCAAGGTTACAAGTTCAAATTTTCCATAGAGAACATGTATAGCTAAGAACACAAATATTTTCCATAGAGAACATGTATAGCTAAGAACACAACCAAGAGTAAGCAAAGAACGATCCCTTTACTACTTTAACTTTTTGATGACAAAAAAAATATCTTTAACTTGGATTTTCAAAACACTATTTTGGATATACGTAAAAAAAAATGTAAAGAAATTTCTAGAATTCCGGAAATATCCAAAAAAAAGATTATTCCTGAACTTAAAATTAATTTATTTGATAAATCTAGATAAAGATTGCAGTTTGAAAGTTAATGTTATCCAAACTCTTATCTTTTTTCCAAATCTCTCTTTTTACCAAACTCTCTCTTTATTCTTCTTTAAAAAACTAAAAAAGCTTAAGTTTTTTTTTTTAAAAACAGTTTTTTGCTTAAACTAGAAAAAAATAACAAAAAAAGTACTTAGGTGAAAGCATAAAGGTTTAAAAGTGAAACTAAGTTTCTTTAAAAAAAAGTTTTTGAAAATTAAACTTTGTTTTTTGGATTAAAATTTAAGGGTTAGAAACACATTATTGAATATTTTTTAACAAAAGTAACCTAAAAGCCAATAAATAAATAAAATTGACCTATTAAAATTTTGAATGAATGAAATAGTTCATTTAACGCAAAATATTGTTAATATATTAAAACATACTTTACCGGTAAATTAAAATTGAAGGTCTTAAAAAAAATTAGACTTAAAATTTTAAATAACCTTTTAAAAATATGATGAAATCTAGCTGATAATGATTTCTTACGATAGTTGTTTGTCCAAGAGCACCTGCATATAATACCTTTGAGATATGAAGAGGAACAGACTAAAAAAAAAACCATCTTTAAATCCTAATTCTAAAACAATTTATGAATAAGCAAATAATTTCTGAGAAGTAAGAAAAAAAAACTTTCAACTGATCAATTAAAATTTGAACAAATAAAATGCCATAAAACACATTTCCAGTTCCAATTTGATCAATAAGAAAAATTTACCCTTATAACATTTTCAAGATCTTTGGCTAAATCAATAAGTTCTTTAGAATCATCTGAAGAAGGACGACTATCTATTTTCAGTTGAGCTATGCTACATTCTTTTCCTTTGATCTAACAAAGTAAAAATAAAAAAAATAAAAAATAAGTAAAAACAAAGTAAAAACAAAAACAACAACTTACATTAAAAGAATGATAAGTTTTTATTTAATTTAAAAAGCAAACTTGTAGATAAAAAGATGCTTTTTAAAAACAAACTTTGAAACTAAACTTTTTTATTGTAAATATTGTATTACTTGATAGATTTTATGTTGGTACTAAATTAAAATGCTGTTCAAATTAATGATTGTTATCGAAATCAGCAAAAAAAATTTCCAATCAAATCTTTAAAATCATTTTTAAAGATTTCAATTTCATTCACAAAGTAAAAAAGCTTGCAACAAAACAATAGAAGATTTTTAGTAACCCCCTGAAATGATAAAAAATGATAAAAAATTTTACCTTTTTAGTATTTTTAAACTTTGGGTCCTGAACTTTGTTCTTCTCATATGCATCAATGTGATCTTTTAAAGATGATAACAAAGTATCATCTTCGTCACTGTTAATATCA